AAAAAAAATCTATCTATGCTACGGAAGGTAATAAAATGAATACATTTAATTGGTTAGCAAGCCAACCTGTATTTGGTGATTTCCAACTATAACTTCAGAGAGGAGAATGCCCTCAATAAATGACCCCAAGTTACATTTTAGAACGCTTCCTTACAAGCTGGGTAGCCTGGGTTATAGGTATTGATCAAAATGCTTTTTCTTGATTTGCCATGTGATTAAATTTTTCCATACATACATATTGCTAGTCTGCAAGTTTATAGATTGCAGATATTTCTATTTTCTTGAAGTAAAGTTGTTCTCTAGGTGTCCTTTTCAGGTGTCCCAATATGTGGCAAACTGGTTGCATATCTTCTTAAGTGGTATTGCTCTTGAATTGACCTACCATATGAATTTAAAAGATGATGCTTGGTTTTGTATGAGATAGGTAGATGAGTCTAACTATCTACAAGATGTGTGAACGCTTTTGAAACTAGTCTAACTTTGAGCCTTTCTACACTTTTGTCAGCCTTGTATTTAGTAATGAATATCCATTTGGAGCTACAACTTTTTGTTCTGTCGGAGAAATGTGTCACAGTCCCTTTCTTTTTTTCTTTTTCTTCTTCTTTTTTTAGAATTTGGATTTCATCCTTCACAACCCTTTCTAATTCAGGACGGAGAAGGGTTCGTGAATCGTCTTAGGAACTTGTATGTTATCAAGGCTTATTGTAAAGGCTTGGAACATTGGAGATAAGTTCTTATAAGAAGATAAGTTAATAGTTTATACTGAGGGTAGTAGTAGTTGGTGCACATTCTGGTTCCTTTCCTTTGACCAATAAGTAAACTAAGATAATTACTCACAGGTTCGTTAGAAGGTATCTCCTCTTGAGGATCTGAGCGGCTACTTGTTTGATTTTCTAGAATAGGAGCAATCTCAACTAATGGATTTTTCTTTCTTCGCGTGGAGGTAACATCTTGTTGGTTATTGAGATAGGTCAATGATCGGTAGTGTCTTTTTAAATAGGGGTAGAATTATATTCTTGATTAAGGTAAATGGGATTAGTTTAAATATGGATTGATCTTTGAAGACTTTTGTAGAGCCTGGAAAACGCAGAATGATATAAGTTATTGAAGATGCTACTTCAAGTTGGCCTTTCACTGCAGCAAAAACTATTTCCGTGAAGCAATTTGTCCATGTACTACATCGAGAATGTCAGGTTGAGACGTATGTGGCAATATTTAGAAGTTTCCGTAGCTATAATGTTTACTTGGGAGCATTTGCCTTCCTGAGCACATTAGCATATGCCTGCTATCAAACTTCAGGACCAAAAGGGCATTGCTATAGTAATTTTGGAACTTCTTCAAATGTGACCATACTTTATTGGATACAAAAACTGACCATGTTGATGACTTAAATTAGTCCTCGGCCGTTCACTAACGAGTTCATCGTATCAGATGAATAGTGTTTTGAGTATCGGTAAAGTTTTGTGTGATTACGTTTCAAAATTATCGTATAGTATCAGTTAAGTTTGGGTTTCTAGGTATTATCCATGAATTGAAGCCTGTAGGAGCCTCAAAATTGTCTAAAACAACATTCTCGGTTTGGGTGAAATACTTTTTTAATAATTGCACTTTGAAAATCGGTTTAATACAATATACAAGCTAGGTGAAATGTTAAATCAACTTTCTCCATAAATTGAAGGTTGAAATCTCCGACCCACGTTAATGTAAATCCTTTATTCCAAGGAAAAGCAATAGTAAAATCTGTTATCGAGTTTTCTCATCATATCTTCCTAATATTCTTATCTTGAATCAATTGCAGACATCAAGACCAGAGTACAATCAGATCCTTGTAAAGAAGCCTGAGGGGTTTGATATGTGGCCATTCCAGAACTCCTAAGCTTGCATTCATGTCATCTGACTTATTATACTCACTCAACTTTCTCTAAGTTTGTATCTTTTTATATCGATGTGTGCAGAATGATGTAAAATGGTGGCTTTTATTTTGTCATTTTTGTTGATGTTTTCGTAAATGGAAGGATTTAGTATAAGATATTTGAAGTGAATATTCATTTTCGAAATGTCGTGGAAATGTCTATAAGATGTCGAAAATATCAAAATATTAAAAAAACTTGTCAAAAAACATAAGTGTAAAATATTGCTAATGGTGATGTATAATTACTTGATGCATCACAATTTTTTTACTTGTTAATTTTAATACTTTTTTATGAGTCGGTAAGTTTGAAGCTTTCTTAAAAAAAGTTCATCAACGTGAGCGGGAGGTGTTTGAGGTGAGAGTTTGGAATTCGTAAGATGTTGAACCCATGTACAAATTCATGAGTTTCAAATATATCGAATTCATTCACTCGTACTTGAAAAACATATTTTCTAAATCTAAGATTTTTGACATCTTCAAGCGTAAGATGTAGAACTTGTGTTCCGAACACGTCTTTGATGTGTAATAAAGTAAACGATAGATAATTTACATAGTTTCTCAAAACATGTTAAATCTTCATCATACTAAAAGTCACCTTCTAAATAAACAATAAACATAGTAAAACGTCATCACTGAATCCAAGATGTCAAACATGAAATAAACGGTAGTTTCAGTTACAACAATGAGGATACAATTAAAGCAAGCGGGTCCATACTAAAGAATCGATTGTCACAGTTCAACACAATCCTGTGGTTTAATTAATACCAACGACAACACTACTCCTCCTTGCCTGTCTGTGCTTGCGTTGCTGCGTCTGGAGCATTGCTGCTGCTGCTGGCTCTAGCAACGAGTTGCTCGACGGGGATTTTAATGACATCACGACGCACTCCGATGTCAGAAACAAATCGACTAGCACAATACATACCCAACCCCACAAATGCCAGACCGCTGAAACTAGTGGTTAAATATCGAAGTGGTGAAGAAACTATTGCACTTGTGGCAGCGAGAACCGATGCAGCCTGCCCACTCCTACCGACGCTGAGGGTAGAGTAAACAAGCAACCCTGTTTTACAATAGATGGCAAAGTCTTCACAGTTGTTCTTGAATATGTTGTACATACCAAAGCCATTTTGGAGGAGAAAAGAAGCACGATGAAGGACAACTTCAGATGAGTCAGAAGAAGCAAGAGTGCAGGTCCCGCCACGGGCTTTTGCGAGAAAGAATGCAGACGTGACACCATATTCAAAGATGTAGAGATCACCGCCCGAAAGAAAACAATCCAAGCATGAACAGATTACACCATCACCACTTGACTGATCACCGCATACAGGGCATGGATTGTCTGGAGAATGAGGAGATGAACTAAGAAAGATTCGGTCTAATGCAGTTCCTGAGCCAATCTCCAAACCTCCTCCCCGAGTGAAGTGGATCACCTTTCCGTCACCAATATAAATCCCTATAGTCATATAACAAGACATGTCAACATGAGATAAAATTCCATTTTTTTTATGAGAGACGATAATATATTACAAACAAAAAAAGGGAAAACAACCTAGAGGCAAGGGCCCAGGAGGCCCCCTTAAGAGCTACCACATTAAAGCTTGTCAAATCTTGTTGAAATAAGACTATCTTGTTATTACAAAAGATTTTTCTATAAGGCATCAAGAGGCCGTAGTAATTTGTACGCTATCACAAAAAATGTTGAGGGACAACGTGGAGCTGTTGAAGACTCTTTGGTTCCTTTCCTTCCAAAGACCCCAAAGATAACATTCATTATACAAGATTGTGTACTTGCAAAAGTTGTAGCATTTAGAGAGAGACTTCTACTAACAATTGGGATCAAGGAATCACTTTAAGAACAGTCTTTTCCAGAACTTATTTATACTCTCGGGAAATTCCTCTTTGGTATTTGATTAACATGCAATTCCTCTACTTTATCCAGCCTCCATCTCATTAAAAAAACATCAGTTTCATCTAACACCGTCCAAACACTACATAATCTATTATCTAATAACTTTCAAAGGCAAGTAAAATATCTAAGTAATGAACCCATCATAGGGCTTCTTCTCCTCCAGCTACAAAGAATCATCGATATCGGGCAAACATTAACGATTGCAAAGGAGACAAAATTCTTCATAATATCACAAATATACAATTCAAGCACTCCAATTCCAAGTCCAACTATGCACGAAATCAGTGAAAAGGCCAGATTAATAACTCTATGTATCAACCAAACAGAAGCTGGACCCCAGCAGCAGAAAAAGCAGACTTTGGGTGCTACATACAAAGAATTTGAGAAGCAGGGCAAACAAGTTTCAAAATAGATAAGTCGTATCAGCATAATACATAATTGCATCTGTAAAGGGCAATCTACCCTTACCCCCTAATTTGTCTTAGATTAAAACAATTATGGTTTTGTTTGGGAGTGATTTTGGCCACCATTGTCAAAATCACTCCTTCCATTGATCCGTTTGGCTAATTGAAAAATCGATTTTAAGAAGGTTTAAAATTACTTGAAATTGATTTTTAAGATATCACTTAGATGGTGATTTCGAAAAATCAATTAGACTTAAATCTCTTTTTTCAAAATTTTTAATCCCACCATCACTCCCAAACATAATAAACAATGAAGAAAGAAAGAAAGGACAGGACAATTACCCCTATTTTGTCCAGATTAAAAAACTATACATAAAAAGCAATATTTTATAGTTTTTAATGTAATTTACTCTCTAGAATTTTAGGGTTAAAACATTTTATATGCACAAACTTACAACATAAAGTTTGCCCTCCAGAAATTATTTTTTTGGCTCTGCTAGTAAAAGTGGCATGATGGCAAAATCAAAGTGGCCAATGGAAATCCTCCACCACATCAGATATAATTTAACTCATGAACAACTTCCCTGACAACTCAGCAGAACAATAGGAACTTAATCTCTTCGGATTTAAATTATATATTCCTGAGTTGAAATTCAGAATCAGAGAAGTTAGCAAATATTGAAGCAAACATCACCCACCCCGATGGCCATAGTTCTAGAATAATCCCAATCTATATCTTTCATTTTTTTTTTTTCAATTGCTCAAAACAACGAATGAAAGAGCACGATCTAAATCGAAACCCACATAAAATCAAAATAATATAGCAATCGGAAAAATCTAAAATCAGACATATGTCCCGATTTGAGGGAGTGATCCCAGACTGCAGTTACGCAATTAAGGAAAAACAATGGCATACGAAAAATAAAAACAAAATACACAATTTTAAAATTGAACCCAAATTAGAACGGCATCACGAAAGAAGAAATCGGGAAGAAAGAGAAGAGAAGAAACCGTGATGAGCGTATATATAGGCCTGCCTCCAAGAATAGACGTGATCCCCCGGCTTCAACTCCTCCCTCGAAATCTTATTGGACAGCACTCCCATCTTCAAGCACTATGAAAGCGATCTCACTCTACGATGCCATTTGAAGGGCAGAAGAAATTCTTAGGGAGAGAGCTGAAGAAAGAGCAGAAACCGAACCAGAAACAGCGTAACGAAGAAGGAAAAACAAAAGGCTTTATCCAAAATGAATTGCGTTCAATTTTATTGTGTATAATAATTACTTGTATTTAAGTGATTTAATTGATAACTTTTAGTAATAACTAATTAGAATTAAATTATTTATGAGTTAGGTAAGGAATCATAATATTTGGTAATAAAATCACAAAAAGATAGTGTCTTTTTTTAGAAGAAAATTATGGGTAAAATTAAAAGTAAAATAGATAAAAGCAATACTTTAGTGATAATTGACATATTTCTTCAGTTAGTTTGATCCCCTACTCTACATGTTGTAGTAAAGAAAAAAAGAAAAACGATTAAAAATTATATAGTAATTAAAATATATATTAGGAATTGTGAATAGGTGTGAATTTATTTTTATTGATTGAAAAAGATAATAATAATAATAATAATAATAATAATAATAAATAGAAACTTACCTAATAATTTAATTCCAAATCTTGGCCTATATTATTGCCATTTTATCTTTACCAAGAATGCCACGATGGTCAAGAAAATGGGCAATTTGGCATGTTATCCCAATTTGTTTGTTAACAAACGGTCGAGGTGGCTATACTATACCTACTACTAATGTTTACAAATCAAATCCCCATGCTAGTTGTGATGCATCAGGTACGATTGTGTGGCTATCTTGCAGATTTGTGGATCTGAAGTTATGGCCAGTTGGATTCGAACTGTGTTCGATACTTTTTTAGCTAATAAACTAGCATTTAGGGTGAGTTTCTTATACCTGCTTTTTAATGAGACCTCGTGCATATTATATTCCTTGTTAGTGTTTTTTTAGTTCTTCTATTACTTTGTTTGAGTTTATAACTGTTGTTATAATTGAGTTTGAGTTCAGAGAGGAAGATGTATTTATAGTTGTTGTCATGATGTTGGCTTAATTTTGAGACTTTTTTGTTAATGTTGGGTTGGGGGGAGGGAGTTGTAGCGCCTGAAGTCCGTGATTCATAATTTGGATTCAACACCTATTTGTCTCGGCATTTTTCTGCATCCCTTGCGACCTGACTGCGCTACCATTTTATCTGAACTACTTAGATGAGCGAATACTATATCCACAGGCCAAACACGATTAAAGTTTAAGTTCTTATTATTGAGCCACCGAAAAGGGAGGTGCACATTGTTGGTATAGATAGTGATTATTAATTCTTTTAAAAGTGTTTCTTAATCATGCTTCAATTATCTAAAGATCTATCTAATTCGGATGTGGTACCGGTTCATCCACGTACCCCTCATCTCTGCTCATACGTCATAGAGGCTCGATGGGATTTGATTGTGACATATGCTTGAGATCATAACTCGAGCTTGAGTTTAGGGAGGGTTATTTAATGGTTATGTGTTATCGGTGTGTTAGACCTATGCTTGAGTTTGGGTATTATTAAGTGAATTATGTTGAAATGTTAGTATTCACGTTGTTGTTTAGGTACTTTGTTTTAAGGTTCGTTAGTTTGATACAATTATTTGCTTTGTTTTTTCATGTATTTTCATAAGGATGTTTGCGGGTTGAGTTGGATCAAGTTATGACTGTTTTTTTTTTCCAACTCGAAAATTCGGGTTGGTCAATTCAGATACCTGACGATATTGAAGTTGATTTGCAAGGGTCGCCAACAAATAAAATTGTCGAGAGAATTGAGAATCAAGCCAACATTGGAAAAAAAACATCAATTAGCTACATATTGGAGAAGTCGTCATCGTAAAACGACTGCCTACCTCAAGTAGCTGTCCTAAAAAGATTTGGTTCAAAAGCTTTTATGAAGATCTCAAATTTTCCCAAAGACTTAGCAGAGAGAGACTTGCAGAGAGCAAGAGATATGGTTGAACCGACCAAACAACTCACCAAAATGTAAATTAAACTGAATTTTCCATTCTTGAAAATATTAATCAAACCCAAACCAAATTTTATAGGATTGAGTTGTTGTGTTACCGAGTTTTATAAACACTCCTCGTTTTTCATGTCATTCTCCATTGTTCTATGAACCCAAAGAGTCGGAAATCTCCTGGTACCTTGGTTAGGTCTACGTCATTTTTTGAATGTAAAAACTTTAAAATATTTATTTTCTTTAGGCCTTTATTTTACAAATACTTTGTATAAATTACTAGTACGTCATTTATGATATATTTGTACTATAAAAAGATATTTGATAAATTTAAATAAGTTTCCATGATTTATGAATAAGAAAAAATAACGTCGACAAAAAATCTATCTCTCGACGTTTTACAAAAAGTCTAGAGAAATCCTTTCTCTCGCTGAAAATTTTTTCCCAATTCTTTTTTCTTCTTATTTCAAAAAAAAAAAAAAGAAAAAAAAAAGCCATTTTCTCATTTAAATTTGAATTAGAGATGTACCCAAAAAATGGGGCCAGGTAGGAACTTGCCTTGAATGGGGTGAAGATTCCTATGAAAACGAAGATTTTTCTCTTTCCAATTTTCATTGTGGCGATATTTCTATTATTTTCTCGATACTGTAAGATAATTTATATTTTAGTACAAATACTTGTAAATTTCTCTATTAAAAAATATTTAAAAATAGAAATAATCTGTAACACAATATTATATTATCGGATAGAGACGGGGACGAGAAAAACCACATCCATATATCTATACGAAAACGACACTTCAAACTCAAATTAAATTTATATTATAGTTTAAATTTTACCCCTCTCTTACAAGAGCAACGCAATATTTAGAAGTCTTTTTATCAGTAGCCATGTGTCAACATCGCATCTTTTGGAATAATCGCAAGTGTTGCCAGCTCGACAAGTAGTAGCCTAAGTGATCTACAAATTATCTGTCAACCAAAATATGTCCGATACGAATTGTTCCTAAAGAACACTCGCATGAGCAAAGAYAATAAAGATGTTATCTGACAACACACCACATTTTTCGAAATGTCAAGAACCATTGAAACAGCGTCGAGAATTCCATCAAACTTGATCTAACTTAGCCTTTGGGTATGATAACCCGGGGCTTCATGGTATTTCACCATCAAACACACTTGAAAACAATATTTTCTCCAATTTGAAAGTTTGGCATCTCCAAATCTTAAAATCAAACCAAAGATATTTTAGCAAACAGAAAATTGAAAAAAAAAAGAAAGTGAAAAAAAAGAGAGAAAAAAAGAAAATGTGATTATTTAACATGATCCGTACTTCTGACAAGGACCACTGGAGGATGGTGGCACATGCCTGCTGTCAAATCAGTGGGAGAATGGAGGGTGAGGATGGAAAGGTACGGAGAGATGAACGGCTGTGATTCGTCGTTGTAAATTAGTATCTCCTGGACTCCATTCTCTTTTTTGGTTTAGATTTTCTCTTTTTCTCACTATTTTCTCACTCTCAGAGACACTCTCTTGACCGTGCTTTCTCTCTCCTCTGTCTCTGTCTCTGTCTCTCTCTCTCTCATCTTTGAGTTTTTGGAAGGCTTTGATTGAAGCAGCAGCGGCTCTTCTCTTTTACTCTTTCTCTCTGTATTTGTACTCACTGACATTCTCAGTCAGTTCCGAT